GAGAGGAGAATGGAGGAGAAGGGGTTGCGGCGTGGCCATTCCCCCTGGGGGTGACTTCTCGCTTTCTATCTCTCTGTTTCTCTGTCCGTTTGGCGAGCGCATGCATACTATATAGCAAAAGCCTCTCCAAAAAAAAAAGAAGAAAAAAAAAAAAAAAAGATGCTCTTTCCTGAGCCGGAAGGTAGCACAATGGTTAAGGTGCTGTATCCCACAAGGCTGACTGGTTCAAATCCCATACCTGGTGGCTTGAAAATCACACCAGATGTGTATGCATGTGTGCCCAAAATCTCGAGAGGAGAATGGAAAAGGGATTGCAGCGTGGCCATCCCCTGTCTCTGTCTCTCTCCAGTGAGTGTGTGCGCCCTATAGAAAAAAGAAAGAAAAAAAAAAAACAGGAAAAAAAGAACCCTTCCTCTGCCTTACAGGGGGAAGCTGGGCCTCCCCTCCAGGGGCAGTGTGCAAACCCCACGGTCGGGCTCAGCTAGGGCCGCAGCTCGGACAGCGCAGCTGGCACAGAGAGGCTCTCCTGGTGCCCGGTCCCCAGGGAGCTGGGAGCCGTTGAGGTTGTTCTGAGTCCTGCTTCCTTACAGGGAATGGCATGTCCCTTTTCCTTTCTGGAACAGGGAGCGACGGAAACAGACTTGCTTGGGATTTTTGTTTGTTTTCTTTGGTTTGGGTTTTTTTTTTTAATTTTTTTTATGCCAGAGGTTACATGCTACGTGGGCTCTGGCTTCTTCTGCACAGCCCCTGACCGCTGGGCTACAGGGCAGGCCCAGGTAGCATATTTTGTGAAATTGTATTCTATTATAATGTTTCTTCTTCTTCTTCTTTTTTTAGTCATGGTAAAATATCTAGAACTTTCCATTTACTATGTTAGCCATTTTTAACCCCAATTCAGTGGCACTAAACACATCCATGGTGTGTCACTATTTCCAGAACCTTTTCACGATCCCAGCCAGAACCCTGTACCCATTAAGCAGTAATTCATGTCCCTGCCTCCTTGGCCCCTGGTAACTTTTCTTTTAGAGAGATTGTTGCTAGAAGGTGCGTGTGCTCGGCAGAGAGACAGAGAGATAGAAAGCGAGAGATCACCCCTTGCCCTCAGAGGGGCGTGGCCATGCCGCAATGCCTTCTCCGTTCTCCTCTCGGGGATTTTGGGCAGGCACACACATGTTCCCCGGCGTGAGTTTCAAGCTGCCAGGTCTAAGACTCGAACTGCGGTTGGCTGTGTGGGAATCCAGCAATGTAACCATTACGCCATCCGCTGATCCCACTCCTGGTAACGTCTAATCTACTTTCCATCTCTATGGGCTTGTCTATTCTAGCTATGTTATGTAGGCGGAATCATGCAACCTTTGGCTTCCTGTATCTGGCGTATTTCACATAGCTCAGGTTTCAGCCACGCCGTAGCACGGGTCAGTGCTCCGTTCACTTCACCGACGCAGGGCGTTTTCCGTTCAAGTTCTGGTAGAGCATCCTTTCCACCATTTTTTTTTTTTTTTTTGGAGAGGTTTTTGCTATAGGGC